AATACCATACCGATGGCACCCAACACAGCATTCCACAATGTCACATTATTATTGACAACGGTTGAACCAGTTGTTGCCATCACCCTAAATGCCGAACGTTAAGCAGGGAATAACAACTACCATTTTTAAAGACTTTGGTATGTCCCGGCCTGGGGACAAAATCCATTGCCTTCCTCACCTTGGCGAACGTTCAACAGTAAAGCCAAAAGTGAGGTGTTGCAAAGCAAGGCGCTAGGAAATATCAGGAAAGAAAAATAGAGATACCAAATATTGCAATGGGTGCAGCAGATTTATTTTGGTCGCTTTTGTGTCCCCAAGTAGAGGGCACAAAAGCAAATCCCCAATTCTGCAGGGGATTCCTTCGTAAGTCGCCTCTTACGATACAAGTAGTCAGTGGTCAGTCGGGATATTATTTATTCTGTGGTAAGTCGAGATAGTATTAAGTCAGTGGTCAGGCGGAATATTAGTTATTCTGTAGTCAGTCGGGCTATTATTAAGTCAGTGGTCAGTCGGGATGCTATTTAGTCAGTGGTCAGTCGGGATACTATTAAGTCTGTAGTCGGTCGGGATACTATTTAGTCTGTGGTAAGTCGGGATAATATTTAGTCAGTGGTCAGTCGAGATAGTATTAAGTCAGTGGTCAGTCGGAACATTAGTTATTATGTAGTCAGTCGGGATATTATTAAGTCGGTGGTCAGTCGAGATGCTATTTAGTCAGTGGTCAGTCGGGATACTATTAAGTCTGTAGTCAGTCGGGATACTATTTAGTCAGTGGTCAGTCGGGATACTATAAAGTCAGTGGTCAGTCGGGAGACTATTTAGTCTTTGGGAAGTCGGGATACTATTAAGTCAGTGGTAAGTCGAAATAGTATTAAGTCAGTGGTCAGTCGGGATACTACATGTATTTAGTCCGTGGTAAGTGCGAATATGAGTTATTTGGTGGTTAGTCGGGATATTATTAAGTCAGTGGTCAGTCGAGATGCTATTTATTCAGTAGTCAGTCGGGATACTGTTTAGTCTGTAGTCAGTCGGGATACTATTTAGTCAGTGGTCAATCGGGATACTATTTAGTATGTAGTCAGTCGGGATACTTTTTAGTCAGTGGTCAGTCGGGATACTATTAAGTCTGTAGTCAGTCGGGATACTATTAAGACAGTGGTCAGTCGGGATACTATTTAGTCAGTGGTCAGTCGGGATACTATTAAGTCTGTAGTCAGTCGGGATACTATTTAGTCAGTGGTCAGTCGGGATACTATTAAGTCTGTAGTCAGTCGGGATACTATTTAGTCAGTGGTCAGTCGGGATACTATTAAGTCTGTAGTCAGTCGGGATACTATTTAGTCAGTGGTCAGTCGGGATACTATTAAGTCTGTAGTCAGTCGGGATACTATTAAGACAGAAGTCAGTCGGGATACTATTTAGTCAGTGGTCAGTCGGGATACTATTAAGTCTGTAGTCAGTCGGGATACTATTTAGTCTGTAGTCAGTCGGGATACTATTTAGTCAGTGGTCAGTCGGGATATAAGTTATTATGTAGTCAGTCGGGATATTATTAAGTCAGTGGTCAGTCGGGATACTATTTAGTCAGTGGTCAGTCGGGATACTATTTAGTCTGTAGTCAGTCAAGATACTATTTAGTCAGTGGTCAGTCGGGATATAAGTTATTATGTAGTCAGTCGGGATATTATTAAGTCAGTGGTCAGTCGGGATACTATTTAGTCAGTGGTCAGTCGGGATACTATTAAGTCAGTAGTCAGTCGGGATACTATTTAGTCAGTGGTCAGTCGGGATACTATTTAGTCTATGGGAAGTCGGGATACTATTAAGTCAGTGGTAAGTCGAGATAGTATTAAGTCAGTGGTCAGTCGGGATACTACATGTATTTAGTCCAAGGTAAGTCGGAATATGAGTTATTTGGTGGTTAGTCGGGATATTATTAAGTCCGTGGTTAGTCGGGATATTATTAAGTCTGTGGTCAGTTACTTTATAAAGAATATTTACCCTTGTGGATTTCTTTGCGATTTCATCTACCGGAAACACCACGACGGACGCCACACGTGGTACCGGTTCCGGTTCCGTTATGTCCTGATATGGTGACGATGAGGTGTATTGTGTCTATTGTACTCAAAACTATCAAATATGGAAGACTGGAACATTCCTTGATTCTGGATTTTAAATGTTTTAAATAAATGAAGCTGTGAACCAAGTTGTTTTCTATAAAACAGGTTTTATTCTCCTATCATATCAACTCACACACGTACAAGTACCCAGCAATGGTAAATCTAATAGGAATTTTTATGTACACATATTTAAAAGAAAGTCACGGCATGAAAGATCTAATTAGCGAACATAATTTGCTATAAATTAATTAACATGCTTTGCTATGAGTTAGTCATGTGCTGTTGGTGAAAATACACACTTTGATTTGATCGACCAATCACAGTGCGAGAAAAGCTGTTGACCACAATCCCGACATTATGATTGGTTATTGTCATATACTTCATATTTAACTTCAATTGTTACGTCATTTATTTCTATACTTACTTCTTTTTTTAAAAATATAATTGACAACAATGTTAGAGAACATGCATAAAATGGAAACATATTGATGTAAGAGAAACAGAATAACCAACTCCTGACATTTCCTTTTTCACTCTTTTTTTAAATATCACTGAAAGAAATTTTAATTGTACATTTGAATCACATTGTGGTTAATATACGGAGATAAGTCTGGAAACACACGTATTTTAGATGACACGTATTTTTCCTGCATTCTTATTGGTTGAATCATTATCACGTGGAGGTCGAATATTTGTGTTATTGCCTCAGTGGTACTATTTTTAGAAACAACAGGGCAAAATTCACTTCATGGCATCGTTTCAATTGTACCGTCACAATTACTCTCTGTCAAATGCAGAACTTTCTTCCAAACAATGTCCATACGTTCAATCTGGTTTCATGATTAAAACATTATTCAGCAACTTATATAACAATACGAATAATTGATCAATTAAGGATTTTTTCGGTGAATATAGCTTTCTCAGGTTCACATAACCACATACATATTAACCGCAACAAAAGTCCATAATTGGTCAATAATTCGTCAGATATCATTTACTTAACAATGACTTGTTTTAGAATCTTTGTGCTTATCAATTTCCATTTATCCTGTCAAATAATAATAACAAATCTTTACCATAACCATCACCCATTTCCTACGAAGGTATGGTTTCATACTGACCATAAAAACGGGAATAATCGTTTTCAAAAGTGTAATGATTAACTTGAAAATAAGATAATTAATTATTCTTCAAAATCAGGATCAAACGGTGTAAAATTACGTAAGCTAAATGAGACGTGGAAGTAAAACAGAAAATCGGAGATAGTTTGGTAACTTTATAAACATGTAATAATACAATATGCATGTAGTAACAACACAGGTATGTATGAATTAGGGTCTAATATGAATACCCTTCAACACAATTCACAAAGCTACTCTATATTTCGGTAACCATTTTTTATTAACATCGAAACCTCATTACACTACAATCATTTGCTAAAGAAAGGCGTTACAAAGGGGTTCGACAAAATACCGAGAAGGCATTATAAAGGGATTTTACCTTTAACTACAGGAGGCTTTATTAAACAGTTTGACAATTTACCGAATAAAGCGTTGTTAATGGGGACTGACAGTATACAGAGGGAGGCGCTGTAAGTGATTTGACTATATACTGAAGAAGGCGTTATAAAGGGGCTGACAATTTACCGAGGTATGCGTTATAAAGAGTGGCAGACATTTTACCGAGGGAGGCGTTATAAAGGGACTGATAATAAACAATGGGAGGCGTTATAAAGGGGGTCTGACAATTTACCAAAAGAGGCGTTATAAGGAATTTGGCAATATACTGAAGGAGGCGTTATAAAATATTTTGATTATATACTAAAGGAGGCGTTATAAAGAGATTGACAATATACGGAGGGAGGCGCTTTAAAGGGATTGACAATTTGCCAAGAGAGGCCTTAAAGGGGGGTATTGAAGCAGTTTGGCTGTAAGCGAGGTTGAAGTGAAATGAGTGGCATTATAATGAGGAATTGCTGTAGTCGTTTAAAATTTGACTGTATAGCACGCCGTTTAGGAAAAAAGTTTTGCAGTATTGTTTCTGATCAGAAACGTAGGAAATGTCAAACGTACAGAAATAATAAACAAGCACAATAACATTACTAAGTTCTAGAAGAGATAGGACCATGATTATTAAGGCAAGTAAACTATTCTCGGAAAGTCTATTGACATGATAGGAACAAGGATAACACAACGGGATTGTAACAAGAGGCCGAAGTGCCCTGTATCGTTCACCTTGTTTGACTTCGTGAACTTTATAGCCTATTTATATATCATTCTAACCTCATAATAACGATTTTTTACACGCGACTTTCGATTAACACCATCAGGAAATTATGATACAATATATAGAAAAGATTTACGATTTGTTGTTTTGAAGAAGAACATTTTCAAGTTTTAATTATAACAGAAAGGTAGGTCTCTGGGAATAATCGCCTCTATTGCACGGTATTATCAAACCTAATACGCGCCTGAGGACATATTCGGTATAGAATTGAAAAAAAAACCCAATGATATAAAGAACTGAAATTAAAACTACGGCATTCTTAACTTATCAAGTTCATATCAAACCGCTGTGTACGGGTCTTTTTTTAAAGTTATAAGGTTTAATTATTTTGCTTAAAAGTTTACTAAAAATCACGAAATACCTATCCTTATAGGGTACACACGTACGCCAAACGGAATGAGTCTCACCATTTTACCCTATCCGAGTGACTTTGTTAGCCTGATGTTGAATGCCCACATTTATCTTAATCTTGTCCATTTGCCAAATTATTCATATACATATAGGTGTTAGAAAAAAATGGACTTTGGCGATAGACGGATACGTATACGGATGGCTAAGGACGGACGGACAGACGGACGGACGGCGGAAGCTGTATCACTACATAAATACTTAAATGTTAAAACAAAATGTTTCTATCGAAGCAAATAAGCGTATGAAGGACTATTTCCACATACAGATTCGTACAGACATAAAAGTAAAGTTATATCCAATTATTACAACTATTTCCTATACAAAGTTTTCTCTCAAACCCTTTTCTCATACGTTTCCATATATCTTTTCATCTTTACGGTCATTCAATGTCTTTCAGACGCTTCAATCTTTTACTTTAGCTTCCATACAATTAGTCATGTACCTACACTTCCGGTTACACTTGTACACAATCTCCCTTCACCCCCTGTACCGGAAGTCGTCGTTAAATTACGAGCATCCTCCTACATCTATACCTAGCTATTTACATGTGGTGATTAAGATTAATCTACACAAGACGAATACAAACAAAGGGACAGATTAGCTAGTTTTCCTATCATGTGACACTCGCTACTGTACAAGCTGCCGTCACACTTCCACTTGACCTATAATAACATTGCTTCATGGTGAGAGCTCTGGAGGAATCGGTGGTATAAAATGAGGTCACACTCTCACGTGATGTGATGTATTTCCTGTCGGAAATTTATACAAATAAACCTCCTAAACTCGCAGATATTATTTTTTTCGATATAAGAAGATTTTCTTTTTTAATGATTTAAAAACATGTACTGTCACGTAAAATAAAAATTCAGATCTAGTATACCCGGGGAAAAAATCTCCGGAATACCAAAATCCGGATTAACTAGGTTTTGTAAAAACAAAGTTCCGGATAATCGAGGTTCCACACCATGTATTAACTGACACAACAGATGATATACATTATAAAATAAAATATATTGTCACCCACATATATATATATATATTAGTAGAAGAAAGGCAGGAATAGGATGAAATGGGTTCCACACTACTTTAATCCGGAATGTGAACTTTCCGGTATATTTGATTTTGCATTAACGAGATAAAAAACAATGCATACATCGATTCAATTTAAACGGATTTGATGCAAGATTTAGCTTTAAATATATTAAATCGAACGATTTCTTCCAAAATAAAGGTTAAATGTTTCATCAATATTTTTAGAATACATTTAAAGTATTATACATTGCATATATAGATATCCTATGTAATGTATACCTAACAAATGAACGGACAGATACAAGAAAGGAATAATGATAGGATGACTAAAATGATTTTGAAACAATATCTAAAATCTTAAGAGGACCGTTGTTGAAATCACGATCCTTAATTGTATTGTATATTTGAGATCTATGTGTGGTATCCTAAAATGGTATTTGGCATGGTGACTGGCTGATCTCATAAACGTTTTAAGGTTTGCAAAAAAAAAAATGTTGGTACAATATTGCAGTATTAAAATAATCCTTTGACAATAAAATATACACGTAGTTTACATGTATACAATTCCATATCAGTTAAATCCAGTAGTAATTCGGTGATACAGTTGATTGGTGATACTTCCGTCTGTATTAAATGCCATGATACCGGAAGTGCACGATTTGTAGATTGAGCACGATGGACTGGAGAGTCGACTTCCCTCACCACAAAGACAATGTCGTTACGACAGCCAGTAATATTGACGTCAGTGTCGCTCTAAAAATAGGCGATGCATTTGGTCCTCCCACGGGAGAATCTAAAAAGAAAAAGAAAAAAAGAAAGAAATAAACGCTTGATGAAACTAATCCAGGTAAACACTTTAATCTGAGTGCGTCTAGGGATGAGGGAGTATTGTGTTGTTAAATCGACTCTAATAACCAGAGTTATGTTCCTTGTTTATTTTCTAAACCAAAATGTATTAGGGATGGAGGAATACGGACTGTTTGCAATACTTTGCCGTGTTATATTTCTATTTTGAATTGAGTACCAAAAACCTGGTGTCAGAGATACAAAGATTCAGTGAACAAGGGGCCATAACTCTGATTAAAGAAGAGCATAAGACCTGATTTCTGTCCACAACTTTCTCTCTCCCAAGAGATACACCAATACAAAGTCTGGCAACTGAAGGTAACTAAGTCTACAGATATACAACAGACAGGGAGGCGCACGGTGAACAAAGAGCCATAACTCTGTATACAAATGATTCCAGCACGCAAACGTTCGCGATCGTCATCCCATGAGGTACTTGCAAACAAAATTTAGCAAATGAAGATGGCGGAGTAAACGAGATATGTCCCGAGCAATGAGACAGACAGACGGACTGACGGACGGACGGACTGACGATCTGACTGAAATACGTGATGCAAAAGTACATGTAGTTCTCTCTCCCCAGTGGTACAGGTTGGTGGCGGACTAACCAAGAGAATTTGATGAAATTAGTTCAACAAATTTTAATTTCTGTTTAAAGATCGACCTTGACCTTACCTGTTCCCATTTCGCTGGTTTTGGAGGAGGTTGCCTTGATCTCCTCGGCCGGATTGTGTACGTTGTCTTTTTGCATCGTCGTTGTCGATTCTTTCATCGTCGTTGAAGGTTCTGGAGTCGGGGTCGACGTCGGCTCGGCTGTGGGTGTTTCTGTTGTTGTCTGTATTTCTATCAGCTCTTGAATAAGCAAAGGAAACATCAACATTGACAATCGTAGGAGTATACGGACAGGTCTAGTGTTTCTATGGCAATTATTTACGTACAATAACCAAGATGTATAACTTATGCATGTATCATCCCATGTTGTGTAACATATTCTATTTTATATGTTAGGGGATGCAACAGCTAAGGTCATATAAAACGGCTCCCAAGGGAATTAGCGCGGAAAGAAAGTTTACGTTGTATGTTAGTGATAACAGGAATGCCGTATATCGTAAGAGTTGCAATGGAAGCATCAGATCAATTATAATTTTCTTCAATTTTCCCTTATGGGAAATCCCGATTTCCCCAGGGACCCCTACGAATACATGCTATGGGATACAGCAGACCTATCATTGTTCGGACAGAAAAATATATCAACTTTAGCGCAAGATTTGTTTGTTTCTTGACGCTCAAAATGTATGGCCCAAGGGTCAAGATTTCACTGTATACATCTAAAAGGGGAGACGGATTCCTTTTCTGTCTACAATTGGGCAAATCAGTGATGACATCATGCAATGTGACGTCACATCCTTGTTGACTAAAGTGCTAAATTTTCCATCACTTTCAGAAAAGTGAATCTATCTGTCCCGTTAGCAAGAAAGCAAACATAAGCTTAAACTTTGGATTTGAAATCTTGTCGGAAAGTTGATTTTAAAGTGGAACCTAGATAGTAATGACAAGACAAAATAGCGTCCACAGTAGGGAGGTATTTTTGTAATGGAAAGACCGTTTTACTCTGATATGGTAAACTGAGTGAAAAATGGACAATTTCAAACTGAAAACATAATTGTATCAAAAAGTAACGTATAACCATAAAACCCCTCCCATCCCCAACCCTCCATACTTGTTTCGATGGGCCTTTACGTCCTTGTGTCGGTTATAAAACCCCTCCATGGAAAAATGACCACCGGTAATAAACTCAAGGGAGGCAACTCAATCATACTAACGAATTTCGCTGGAACTGCTGTTTGCCGAGTTGACTGCCTCACATATATATGTTCCGAAGTCTTCCGAAGTGACACTGTCTATTCGGAGTGTCATTGTCCATGTGCTGTCGCCCACCTCTGTTATGTCTACAACGCTGTCATCTGACGAACCGTCTTTCCGCCATGACATCCGGGGCTGGGGGCGGCCCCGTACTGTACAGTCGATGGCCGCCGTCCTTCCTGTGATGATACTGTACTCTGACATCGCTACCGATACCATGGGTGGGTCTGAACAACAACAAAAAACACTTGCGCTTCAGGTTTATCTGTATAGAAAGGGTTTTTGACAAACAAGGGTTGCTTTTAAAGACAGTGTGTCGGAGTAGAGAGGGTTACTAATAAAGACAGTGTGTCAAACAATCAAGGTTGACTAATACATGTATATACAGTTTTCGGACTAAAACCCTATAGTTATTGCTATTGACAGTGTGTCGGATTTGAGAGGGTTACTGATAAAGGCAGTGTGACGGACTACAGTGGATAACTACTATATACAGTGTGTTTGACTAGAGAGGTTTACTCATATAAAGAGCATGTCGAACAAGAGAGGGCATTTGATATAGACAGTATGTCGGACTAGAGATGATTATTGTAATAGACAGGGTATCGGACTACAGAGAGTAATTGATATAGAGAGGTTGTCGGACTGGAGATGGTTAATGCTATGGACAGTGTGTCAGCAAAGAGAGTATTTCGTATACTCACATTCCACATCAATCTGTATGGACAGGGTGTCGGACCCGAGAGGGTTTTCAGCTACGCACGCGTACGTTCCGGCATCATCCCCTTGTATATTAGTCAGTGTTACTGTCCCAGGCCCTATTTCTGCAAAAATATAAACATTTCTTTTTATACACACTTGTACCATAATTAGAGCTATTTTCCAATCGTTTGACCACCCCACCTGCCGAACCTGCAATGTCCCAAAGTCAGGATTCTTTTAATCAAAACAAAGAGAGGGAAAGCGTTGTTTAACAAACACCTCTTTCATTTAATAGGTGGTATGGCATTTGATACTTATATGAATATAAACTTTATTTTACAACAATTATGAAACAAGCTATTTTTTTAATTTCAACTCATAAAAATCCCTCTTGTTGGCCTGGCTGTTAGCGCGCAATGTGTCTAAGTGGTCGGGCAGGTGACCCCATACCTTTTCACGTCCGATCGGGGAATCGAACCCCGGCCGCCTTGGTGAAATGCGAGTTCGCTATCCACTGCGCCACCCAATCACCCATTGACATTTGATAAACAGGGACAATTATGATAAAGTGTGTAGCAGCTGTGATGTTCGGGTATATCCTGTGACATGTGACGTACCTGTCTGCCCGTCGTCCTTACTCCAAGTTACCGTCGGTGACGGCGTTCCGGAGGCGAAACATTCCAAATCTATTTCTGTTCCTTCTTGTACAATCATACTCCGACTCGATTGTTCTACAATCACCTCAGGAGCGCCTTGTCAAATAAAAAAAAAAACAAGAATACGCTATTATAACAAACTAGACATTGATGCTAACCGGTCAACATAGGAATTAAGAATTTCTCGTGAACACGACTTGAAGGATCATCGTGAAACTTTGAAAGCAAGTATTGGTATTGATTTTAGTTCTTAAATTCTAGATATGGGTGAACCTCTGATCAATTTTAAATTTGATGAATCTAACTTGACATATACATTTAGAAACATTTCAATTATATTTTGTAAACCTTTTCTGCCACTCGTCAGTTTAAATCGTTTTGCTTTTGGGCAAAAACCAATCACGTGTTGAACATGTGTGTTGATACATATGGTTGGAACAGTAATCAGTGGAAATCGAAAATCGAATATTTTTTTTCTGTGTTTGAAAACCATCTGTACAAAAGGATTTCACTTGAAAATACGAAAAAGCGTTTCAATGCACCCCCCCCCCCCCCCCCCCCCCCCCTAATTTTCATATATGAATGGTAGACAATAGACGCACTATTAATTATGCGATTATATAAGTTCATTATTTCCAAGCATTTTTTTTATTTACACATAATTCATTTGCAAAAAACCTAAAGGAATTAGACACAAGTTATCAAACTTGAAATTCGTCTTCTCCCTTAAAACAATAATGAGGATACATTCTGTTGCCTCCTCCTCTTCGCATTTTTTAATTTGTCGTTGTACATCAAGTGTAACTCCACGAATCCGTCAGCTTGTTTCCTGTAATTCATTCAATCCGGAAGACACATTTAAACTCGTCCAATTCAAAGGTTGGAATTTTAGGGTTGAATGAGTTAATAGCGGAATAATAGGAACGACCTCGTGGCAGGGGCGATCACTCTAACCTGGCTATGGTTTGTACAATCGATCACTACATACCCCTAAAATAGGAGATCATCTACCCAGTATAATGGAGTACATTTGTTACTTGCTGCATGGTGTGTGTTTGTCTTTTATTTAATACCTAAGTAAAACTTCGATATTACATATTACCAAACTGATGAATCTTATTGAAGATATCCTTTAAAATAGATGCAGCTACTGTTTATCTAGTGTTATCCTTTCGGTTCAGTATATTATGGTCTCGAAGTGTTGTTGATAAATCAAAATATGTCTGACGAGCTTGTTTCGAGAGTTCTATTTCCTTTCGAGACAACATGCATGATTTGCATAAGATCATGACATACTCAAAAGAAGGCAATACGGTTTTAGTATATTACATGACTAATTTAACCGAAGAGAATATTACTGGATAATAAACTTGTTAACTTTCGCATGAAAAGGTAAACCAGCCAACCAATACCCCTCTCGACCCCGACCCATTCACCATTAGTGTCGATGTCAGGGAAGTAAATACAGTGATCCAACCACCATCCGAGATAAGATCACGTGATGTTTGACCTCTAAAGCATACACACCTAATGGAAAGACGGTGATGTTATGTTGAGCCGTGCCGTGAGCATTGGTAGATTCGCACGTGTAAACCCTGTAATCGATGCGGTCAATATTGCGGATAAGGAGAGCGGAAGTGACCACTCCGTCCAGTGGCTCCACGTAGTTGGTGGTCTTAAACTTCCAGCTGTCTGTTAGACGCTGACCGTTAATATACCACTTCATTTCAGGAATGGGACTGCCCTCTGCCGTACACTCTAGGGTGGAGTCCCGACCCAGGTACTGACCCATATTCCTCATCATAGTTTGAATTTCCGGGGCATCTGGGAAAAAACACAATAGTCATTTAATAATCATAGTTATCTCCCCTTCTACCAACAAGACAGCAGACTTTTAAGTGAGTTGGGATGACGTTGTGGAATTGTAATCTGTACTACTATATCAGTCGAATTTAACAAGTCTCCGTTACAATAGATGCACTGGATATCCTGTCGGGGCTCGAACATCTGCTTGCTGGTGTTACGAGACAGAAGGTCAGAAATTCTACCGTTTTATGTTTAAATCCCTCTACCGATTTTTCTACTCTGATGACATATTATGAATGATCTCGTTTGCTTATTTCAAAGAATACCAATGCATTAAGTTGATGAAAAGGCATTGAACCATACAGACTGTTTTACTGTACTTATACATTGGAACAAACCCACATGTCCGGGTAACTAGACCATAATCTGGACAGGATCCCAGTTCTAGCGATCAACGTAGAATATCTACGGAGAATTACAGAAATAGAACATCTGAACTTAAAGGACGTTCTCAACTCCCAAAATCAGGTATATTTTCATGTCTTTCATCCAATTGAAATATCACAATATTTTTTTTTTTATTTCTGATAAGAAATTGCTTCTTTGCTTGAAGCAGTAAGAAACTGTGAAAAGTCCAACCCTCTGATCTTTGAGTGGAGGTGTGAAATTGCTATGCGTTTTTACCTTAAAGGAATATAATCTCATTTTTCTCCTAGATATTTCTGTATATTTTCAAGAATCAGTAATCTTACGAATTGTACTTGTGTTACTCACATAGCACATCCACCGATATGTTTTTTGAGGCACTGGGTTCGATACCGTTCGAGGCATAGCAGATGTATTCCCCCGCGGAATGACGAGTTATGTTAGGAATGTTGAGAATATTTCCGGTTTGCGATAGACCTGTAGAATGTAATGAAAAGCAGTATAGAGATGTCATTGACGTATATTTCTTCCTGATTGACAGAAATCACGTTATTAAATGTTTCATTTTCATATTGATTAAGAAATCAAATAATATCAATATTTAAATATCACTTTAAATAATTAACTTTACCTGTAGTTTAGCAGTTTGACTACGAAGACACTTTGGAAACATAAATTGTATGTATATATTATTTTGTATATATATATATATATATTTCTTTAATGTATTTTTGCTTCGTTAGTCTTCACCAAAATCAACTGTATATAATTCTCCGTTAACTTACGCTCCCGGGCTAGAGCTTGGTGGTCAGAACCGGAAACTCTCCGGTACCACGTGATATCCGGTTTTGGATTACCTCTCACGTGACATCTGAGCGTGACATCGTCAAATTCAGAAACTGCCATGTTGTTACTTGTCATTTGGTTATCTATTGTAGGTGAAACTAAACAAAAGAGAAAACATACTGTATTTATTTATTTTTACCTATATGTATACAGTGAAACCTCGATAAAATGCCCCTCATTTTATTTGCAGTCACGCTTACTGCAAACGTATTTAAAAGTCCTTTTTTTAAAGAATTACTTCACGTATTTCACTCAAAGTATGGCCAAACCTCTTTATAACGCCATTGGCCCAAAATGGTGGCAGTATAACGAGGTTTTACTGAATGAATATCGTTTGCTGTCGACCACAGCCATACATAGTTTTGGGAAATGATAACTCGTTAAGTACGCTGCTTTACAGTCATTTAAATATCTGTATTTATAATTATATTAACATCTCCGCTGTACAGCCAATATGTATACCAACCAACAGCTACATTTACTATACATTAATATTTTTCCAATCAGAAACTGTTTGGGTCTGTCTGTAATACTGTTACTTGTGTGACAGGATGATTCAGAGTTACTTCCCTTGTTCCTTGAAAATTATGTGTTTAATGATTATATTGTAATTAATTTGATGAAACATGATTAAATCTACATTAGGTGTTTTGTAGAATATCATTCATGCAAGTAAATTTATGTATAGAATACTTTAAAGTTATAAAGAATAAAGAATAAGATAAATTTGATCATTTCTTATGTATATTATGCAAATAGCCAATACATCATTTATTGAATATGCATTTTAGAGTATATTGAGTACGTTTGTAAATCATAGCTGGGCAACATTTTAGCTTTGACCCTGAGTAACGAAAGCATTGAGCTGTTTATTAATCGTTCCCGTTAGGTTCTGTAGTTAACTGTAACGTAACAGGGAATCTTTAAAGGGGAATTTTTCTAATAAAGGAGGAGTTGACATTTTTATATTGAGTGTTTTGGTGGTATTTTGGCAACTGTGATAAGAGAGGAATCCGAACCCAACCAAATTGAACCTGGGTTGACGACACTGGGACTTTGAAAGTCCAGTCCTGTTACAAATGTACGGTAATTGGGGACTACGTAATAATGACGTGACGCCAAATCAAAATTAGGATGATTACGATTTCCCGATCAAAAAATAACTATTTCACCATCTGATAGACCAGGACAAAACCTTCCAAGAGAGATAAAACATATTTTTTTATTTTTTATTTTGTTTTGAACGTAAACGTTAGAATTGAAATACCGCGCATCGTGGAATATATTTGAATGGAACTGTATTGAATACCATCATAATGTTAAAAGATTTTTTCCACTTATTTGTCTTAGTTGGCAGTGATGTTACCATGAGTTGAGATAATTTGTTGGCGAGAAAAGATAGAGAAAGGTCAAATGAGTGTAAGGAACGTTAACTCTTGCTAGAAATAGACGTGCTACATGTACTGTACATTTGTAGAAGACTGCTGGCTACCAGCCCAAAAGATTTTATGAAGAATTTCTCAATTGCATTTTACCACTAGCTTATCACTAGCTACACCAGCTTCTAAATAATTCAACATTTGTAGCTTTATGTCGATATATTCAAGCGAGTGGCCTCCCCTTACCCAGAACGATAAGACTGATCTGTTTCTCCAGTATTGGGTAGGAGTGTACGACACATTTATAGACCCCTTCGTCTGTCGGCTTGACGTTGTTGATGACAAGACCCCAGTCTTTATCATAGGTTCGAGCCAGACTGTACCGAGAGTCCGGCAGAATGATCCGGTCATCTAATGTGATAGCTACGTTATACTGGGACATCCACATCACCTGTAATAGAACAGGTAAATAATAGATGTAAAATTTACTGGTAAAATGTAAAGGTATAATATTAGAGGAAAAGAATATCACAGATAAAACGATACAGATGAAGATTACAGATAAATTTTAAATGTAAAACATTGCAGTGAAAATATCACAGATTAAATGATACAGGTAGATAATACAGGTATACATTTTGAAGGTAAAACATTGAAAGAAAAATATCACAGGTAAATGTTACAGGTAGAGAATACAGGTAAAAGTTTGAAGGTAAAGCATTGCAGGAAAAATACATTAGATTAAATGATACAGATGAAGAATACAGGTTTGCAAGTAAAACATAAGAGACAAGAGTTAAATGTCACAGATAAAGATGTAAAGATAACAGGTAAATATACAGGTAAAAAATACATTGAAACAATACAGATAAAATACATCAAACACCTGTAAAATGATACATCAGCGATATATATGTATCCTTGGATACTGGTAAATATTATATACTGGTAAATAGTATATACTGGTAAACATTACATACTGGTAAATATTATATACTGGTAAATATTACATACTGGTAAATATTATATACTGGTAAATATTACATACTGGTAACAATTATATACTGGTAAACATTACATATATTATATACTGGTAAATATTACATACTGGTAAATATTATATACTGGTAAATATTGTTTACTGATAAATATTATATACTGGTAAATATTATAGGTTAATATTATATACTGGTAAATATTACATACTGGTAAATATTATATACTAGTAAATATTACATACTGGTAAATGATCCAGGCAATCATTACATTTAAAATATTACAGGTAAAAGAACATAAGTAACAAATATACAAGATAAAAACAAATACATCTACTTGTAAATTAGTACAAGTTAAAAATAGAAGGTTAATTTTATAACCTAGTGATATTACAACATTAAAGGGAAATTATCGCTAAAATTTGTCAAAAGAATTTATTTCTGAAAAAATTAGATAGGGACCTTAACTTATTGCCAATCAAATTGACGCTATATCACCTTTGTAAATATAATGTAATTTAAACATGACAAGACATTGAGGTGAAACATACGTATATTCAAGGAATATCAAATCTCCATTATAAAATCATTTAACTGAAACGTCCGTTTCTTCTGCAAGGGGAGCTTACTGTATAAAATTGATCATAGTAGCTGGATATGGCTAACAGTAATCAGTGATTTTACAATAATATGTACTATTGATGATAACGTACGTGAGTACATGTATGTGTTCTAAATTTACGATGTATCATATGTTTCATAAATCAGTTATGATGTAGTGTCAATTTTGAGGCAGATATAGTAATTTGGTTAAGTATCCATTTTAGCTGTACGTACCCTGTGTGTGCCGAGATTCTGGATGCTACACGGAAGTGTAACAGAGAAGCCTCGTTTGGCTGTGATGTTGAGGGGCGTGGTTTCCAGGAGGGGTCGAGCTGGAAAATAAGAGAGAACACGTAAATTACTGGGTAATAAATTCATTATCTATGACGTAATGAAAGTTAAAATAAGGATATATACATATGTGTAGTCAGACCGAGTTCGATGAATATCTTATTTAACTATTTTTCCCATGTAAACTTTCGTTTTTATTTGTGCTAATAATTGTAATCACAGGAATCCAACAGAAAACGCGACATGTTTGTTACAATTTGTACATATGTATGCAGATCTAGAGGTGTCGGCACTTTCCACGGAAAGTGCCGACGGTTCCCGATTGAAGCTTATATAGATCATATTAAGAGAAATCGGATACTGATATGCAAATTCAATAAGCCGGACTACGATAATCGGGAAATCGTGCTTTCCAAATCCCGTTATTCCGGCACTTAGTTTCATTTTAGTGACGAAAGTTGTTCCAGTCATTAAGAATTCTGGACTGACACGTTTCCGCTGTATGAATAAATTTCGATCGAAGCTACATGTAGATATCATTAAAAACAAATTAAAAACCGAATAATCAAGACCAAATCTAGAACCTTTGAATTTCAATTTGTTTTACAGCTTTCTACATGAACGTTATCCCCAGGCCGGGTCATACCAAAATGTTAAAAATGGTAGGTTTTTTTTTCTTGCAAAACTTTCAGCATTTAGAGAAATCGTAACTGGTGAATCAAATGTCGGTGCTGAATCCTTCACTGTGTACTATCGGCATGCTGTATCAGGGAAGTAGCACTCTAAAGTTAGCATCAGATCCGCGCTATCACAAGGAGGCAAATACACCAATATACCGCCTCAAGCACGCGTCACACATACATTAATACACACATGAAGCCACGTTATTAAGAAACCTTTGCTGTTGATAGGATGTTCACACGGTAAGCAAAATTAAATTCATACTTTCCCTGTATCAGAAAATTACATTTTGAACGATCACTGATGCATAGAAAAGAAAACACGCGTTTGTTATGTGATCAGGCTAGATACGTAAAGAGAAAAACAAACATTTCAACCTCGACATGTTGGTGAAAGCCTTCAATGTCAATATTTATCTGGCAACACGTCTCACGGTGATAAAATTCAGACAGATTTGTTACAAATTTAAAAAAAAATATAAATTAGAAAATATCGAAAAACAACCACGTAATTTCATTTTTTTTTTTAAATACGCCAAAACCATAGTGACCATGTTGATAAATTACTTGTAATCATTTATCGCGGATCTGGTTACATACATTTTAAGTACGTTCCGAGTGCAAATAAATAAAATAAGTTATCTTTATTTCAATTTGGCGTTTAAATGATAGTTAAAAAAACGATTGACCTTTACAGTGACACATGTAATTTGCACCAAGGGAGACTACTCTAGTGATCGTGACTAGGTGTTTTGACTCCAGCCCGGCCGCACCAAACAGAATCTAAACAACCCCTACCAAGCGGTTACATGCTCAAACGTTGCTCGACAACAAGACATTTGCTGGTACGGAGATAGATATAACTAAGACACACAGTAAACAGGCTACAGAAAACCACAGAATTCGGGGTTTTTTGTTGCCGTTTGAGAGCAATATAATTCAACCAGTTTTCACAATCCTTGCATGAACTTGTCGCACGTCCCGCAAATGTCATAAATTAAGATATTCTCAAATTAATTGAATACGGAAAATACCCGACTTTTAACAAAACTTTGTCAAAAGTCGTTTTTCTCTCCCCTATCAGAGGTTACGTCGCACGCTAATCTCAGCAATTGTTAAAAATGAGGGTTTTTTTAAATTTCAAATGCGCTTACAGTGTTAGAGTCCAATAGAAACATACTTGGCATGTGCACGTACCGTCTGCTTTCTCAGAACGATATAGCACACTCTAGCTCGATAACAGCTCTATACTCTAGGTACTCTATTGCACATATTTCACAGAGATTCATAAATGAAGAAATTTCGGTAAGAGACGCAAACATCAACTCTAACAAACCTAATTCATGTTCCATGTCATGTCTTTAATGCTTATCGAAACCTTTCACAAAAGTTATGGTCTGATTACTTTTTTCCTTTCCCCAAATAGATTGTCAAACCTCATTTTAATGGTATTTTTAGGAGAAAAATATCGTAACTAAGGGAGGTAATTTCATAAGAAAAATATTCCAAAATATTAAATTATCTATCAAGAATTTAAATTAGAAGAAAACTAACTTTAATTAATTATAAGGGAGATAGTTCTAAGACAGACGCTTCTTATATATAATTAGTGAGTTACCTTATATAAAATCAGAGACATGTACATGACATTGTATACGGGATATAGATCTCTGATAAAGTATATGTATCTATATATCATGATCTGAGCAGCTGCAAATAATATCATAAATATCTGAGAAGATTATTTGCACCGTTAAAAAATCCGAACCGTACAAAAAGTATAGAACTGTTATCTAGCTAGTGTGTGTTTTTTGTTCTGAGTAAGCAGACGGTACGTGCCTCGCATAGTTTCTATTGAACTCTAACACTGTAGCGTACGTGTACTGAGAATGGAAGAGGCAGGACACACATACCTGACATGCATATATAAATACACAACTGGTAATAACCGACACTGAACATCTGTCTAAGTGCAGCACCAGATTACAGCAAATATAGGTAAAGGTATGGCTACCAACTCGGTCACCAACCACCTAAGTTATTAACAATGACGAAGGTGGTTGGTGACCAAGTTGGTACCGACCACCTTCGTTAATGTTGATAACTTGTCCAACAACTCGGGCACCAACCACCTTCGTTAATGTTAATAACTTGTCCAACAACTCGGTCACCAACCACCTTCGTTAATGTTAATAACTTGTCCAACAACTCGGGCACCAACCAGTTTCGTTAATGTTAAAAACTTGCCCAACAACTCGGGCACCAACCACCTTCGTTAATGTTAATAACTTGCCCAACAAATCGGTCACGAACCACCTTCGTTAATGTTAATAACATGCCAAACAATTCGGTCACCATCCATCGTCGTTAATGTTAATATCTTGCCCAACAACTCGGTCACCAACCACCTTCGTCATTGTTGATAACTTACCCAACAACTCGGGCACAAACCACCTTCGTTAATGTTAATAACTTTCCCAACAACTCGGTCACAAACCACCTTCGTAATTGTTGTAAACTTACCCAACAACTCGGTCACAAACCACCTTCGTCATTGTTAATAACTTGCCCAACAACTCGGTCACAAACTACTTTCTTTTTGCGACAACTTTTCCAACAATTCGGTTACAAACCACCTCCATTGTGCTTAATGACTTGTCTATAAACTCGGTCACCAACAACCTTCGTCATTGTTGATAACTTGCCCAACAACTCGGTCACCAACAACCTTCGTCATTGTTGATATCTTGCCCAACACCTCGGTCACCAACCACCTTCGTCATTGTTGATAACTTGCCCAACAACTCGGTCACGAACCACCTTCGTAATTGTTGATAACTTACTCAACAACTCGGTCACAAACCACCTTCGTCATTGTTAATAACTTGCCCAACAACTCGGTCACGAACCACCTTCGTCATTGTTAATAACTTGCCCAACAACTCGGTCACAAACCACACTCTTTTTGCGACAATTTTTCCAACAATTTGGTTAGAAGCCACCTCCATTGTGCTTAATGACTTGTCTATTAACTCCGTCACGAACCATCTTCGTTAATGACTTGTCTATCTACTCTGTCTTTAGCAATATGGGCGTGTATATGGTTGTATATGTGATCTGATCATTAAGTGACCATATTTCGAATGGTTCATTAATCTTAACAATTCTCAAATTTAAAATCTTTTTTGATTTCTTTTTTGACAAAATTCGCAAAAATCCTAAAAATTAAAAAGCCTAAAAACAAGTTTACATTTTTAGTTTGATACTTTGACAGAAGTCTACTGCACAAATAAACGTGGCGGTATAACAGGTATTGATATACGCCATGTAATTGGTTATAATTTCCATATGAGCTCACCTAATTATAAGTAGGTATACTGTTGTTGTAATACCAAACATATATTTCGAGGATGTTGGGATAACTCGATGACATTCTTAGAATGATGGGTTTTAGATGAAACTTGTGAGGAACATCCCCGAATCTAGTACACACTCTTAATAAGCATCAGTACTGTACAAGTGTCGTCCTCTCGTGCAGTACACGTGGGGCCATGTGTTAAACGTCAGAGCGCGTGTCTGGCCTTCAAGGGAGGTAATCGATATTTAATTGATGTCGTCTCAAGAGGATTAATACACCGATACACGGGATATCTTTTTCAGTACAACAAGTATCGAATGACCAAATATAAACATTAATTATTAGTGTCACATTGTGTGGGTGTTAGCTATAATATTTGCTGTGACATTGATATTTAAGGCATATTACATCACAATACTTGCTATAGACACATAGATAACTTAAAACAACAATAATATTTACATTCAGGGCGTCGTTCGATTCTCATGTCACATTAGATACGGTGTCAATAAGACGCTTGGCAGTGCGCTAAACACATAACACGGTGGATAGTTTGAATCAATCGTTCAAGTGACTAAGATAGTCGGAGTGCTGATTCCTCACAAAACCGTATTTTAATCAGGGAACAATTTCAAGTTACTGATTGCTGAGTTTTTAAAATGAAAAATATATCGAGATTGAATGGCTGCTTTACGGCTGTCATACCAGTATGAATGGCTGCTTTACGGCTGTCATACCAGTATGAATGGCTGCTTTACGGCTGTCATACCAGTATGAATGGCTGCTTTACGGCTGTCATACCAGTATGAATGGCTGCTTTACGGCTGTCATACCAGTATGAATGGCTGCTTTACGGCTGTCATACCAGTATGAATGGCTGCTTTACGGCTGTCATACCAGTATGAATGGCTGCTTTACGGCTGTCATACCAGTATGAATGGCTGCTTTACGGCTGTCATACCAGTATGAATGCATACCTTTAACATATATTCTATACATTCCC